CACTGACAGTAATAATGCCTTTGCTTATCTAAAAACATCAGTGTATCCATTAAAATCAGAGTCAAGTTCAGATATGATGTAGAAGATCATGTATCCTACATCAAATGCCTGTAAGATAACCACCGAGCCAGCCGAGTGGAGCCTGTTCTCAAATAACATCGCTTATACCTAAATCCCTAATCTCATCACGCTGTTATATTCCAAGTCTGAACTCTCCACATCAGATTCTCTGTTAAAGCAGAGCTCCAAAAATAGCCTGTACACTGTACCTATCGAGCGATTCTCGCCTTTGACACTGTCAAAACATGTGACAGGGTGTACGGTTAATGTTCATATATATATACAGCAAATCACTGAGTCTCAAAGATGTGTTTAGTGCTATAAGGGCACCCGTCTTTTCACTCTCTCTCTCGCACACACACACAGACACACTTTTCGCCCGGTCAGCATTTGCACAGCCGTGTGTGTTCATCGTTACAGCCTCTGACTGCAGCGCTAAAAGTGACAGATGCGTCCTGTTAGCTATATGTGACAGACCGTGCAACAAGACAGAGCACTGTGCAACAAATGACCTGTTTGATTGCACACATACATAATAGAAACGATTTGAAGATGAGCCAAAAACTCCAAAGTGCATGTTTATTATAAACAAGATTAAACGTCTAAAGTTCTGCCTGTGATCTCTGGAGGCTGCAGAGTTCATTACAACCCATTAAAAGCTCAAACTATATACTTTTCTTAGTGCCCTTGGTCTTTTCAAACTACATTATATCAGGTGAGTTGTATAAGCTGGTCTAAAGAGCAGAAAAGTGTTAACACGATGATGTCTAAAGCCTCAATTATACTTTCTGGGTTTGTGAGTCAGCTGGAGTCCCAAGTGAAGTAAATTCTCATCAGATGGCGAGCGCAAGTGTCCATGCAGAGGTCAGTGTGCCTGCCTGTTTATTTTTTGTGACCACACTGACTTGTCTGCAGAGGATTTACATCACAATGCACCAACTACACAACCGCTCCAGGAGGCAGACTTCAAGCAGACTTCAAAGAAATGACAACTCAGCCCCTGGGTCTCCACCTGTCTGTATGCCTGTGTCTGCAACAGTCTTACTCTAACCATTGGCATGTGTCAATATATATATATATATATTGACACACACACACACACACACACACACACACACACACACACACACACGTGTGTGTGTGTGTTTGTAGCATCCAAACAACCAGATTAAATACCTACAGTGTAATCACAGTGTAACCATATCTTAAACCATATCTAGTTTTAGTGCAAAACCAGTGAAACGGGAAGTATAAAATGTAGACTGAAAGGTGTTTGTACACCTGGCTTTCCTGTCAGGCCCTCGCTCTCCATGGACTACCTTCATCCAGCTTTCTGCAAGTCCATCTGCTGCAGCTTCCAACTAATCAACCTCAGAGCAAAAGGTCCAATCAGCGGCCTTTATTCGACAGTTTGCAAGGTTAATACAGATCCACATTCTCCAGAGGAATATTAAAATTTAAAAAAAAGGCTAGAAAATGTAAAAATCAAAGCTAGAGTTCATTTTTTAACATGCAAAACTATTCAGTAACATAGTACGGTTCACAGCCTCATGTTTATTTAGTAGTGTTAAACTACCCATGCTTCACCCAAAGCTGATTCCTCCATGTTCATCCAAACTGAATACTATCAACACATATTGTTCACTTTGTAAAGGTTTGTACAAGGCACTATCTAGTGATCTATCGATCTAGTTTTCAAGCAAATGTATTTGCAAAAGGCTAGTGGGTATTCCTCAGGTAAGTTGAATATACCCCAGATGTGCATGGTTTGGTTTACAATTGCAGGCAATGCCCTTAATGTGAACCAACTACATGTTAATGTCTCCTTATTTTTGTCTTGCAGTCAGTAAATAGACCCCTTACCAGAACTGAAATGTGTGGGCTGAGTGTTATTTACATCTGAGGGTTTAAACTAGCACATATGTGACAAACTGTCGAAAGTCTCAAACACTGAACAGCATTTTAGTGTGAAGGTGTTAAAGTGATAAACTCAGAAATGTTTAATTTTAACTGCGGGTGTCCAGTTATTATTTATTAGAGTTACAGACATCTCGTCAGCAAAGTGACATTTCCATTAAAGTCATGCTGTTAATAGAGTATATACACATTTTTTTTAAATTAAAAAACAAACAAGCAAACAAAGGAATACAAGGTTTTCGCACACAACCATCTCTAGGTTTTAGAGAGACTGGTGTGAAAAAGAGAAAATGTCCAGTGAGCGGCAGCTGAAAGTGCCTTGTTGATGCAGAGCTCAGAGGAGAAAGACAAGAGTAAATAAAATGACCACTTATTACAACCAAGATATGCAGAAGACCATCTCTGAACACACAACATGTTGGACCTTGAAGCAGACGGGCTACGGCAGCAGAGGACCACACCAGGTGTCACCTGGGTGCTTACAGCACGATAACACACCTCGTCACAAAATTCACATCATCTCAAACTGCTTTCTTCAACATGGCAATGACTTCACTGTACTCCACAGTCACCGGACCTCAGTCTCACTGAGCACCTTTGGGACGTGGCGGAAGAGGAGACTGGCATCACGGATGTGCCACAGACAAATCCGCAGCGTGTGATGCTGTCATGTTAAAAATGTTTTCTGAAGAATGTTGAATCTCTACCACAAAACATTAAAGCAGTTCAGAAGGTAAAAGGGGGTCTCTTTTGTACATCGCTACCACCTTCCCATGCTGTCAATCTCAATACTGATTAATGTAGTCTTACGTCTGCATGGTTTAAATCTGTGCTGTCTGTCATTCTCCCTTTTATACTCTCATTTGTGCAATCCATCTCCTCCCCATGTCCACCTCGCCTAACTCACTCAGAGCTCCATCCAAGTCTTAGTCTTCATCTTCACTATCACCAGCGTCTAGACTCCAGGGGGGTCCTGTCCTAAATCCCATCACTGCTGGAATTCCATTCTGAGATGATGGGGCAGTCTAATCACTGAATGCACTGATTAATTTCTCTATCTAAAGAAATAATATTCTTTTCCCCAAATGATCTCTGCTTACTGAAATATTTTAGCCCTTTTTAAAATTAGGTTTTACTTGCACAAAGACAAATTTTCTGTAATTAATTCTGGAAATCAGGACAATCCCATTGTTTCCACAGGGATAATTTACGAGGGTATTTTTCAAGGACACCTCAGCAGGGTCCCGACACTTGCCGACAGCAACAGCTCCTCACACACAAACGCAATCACAGATGGTAAATGCATTTTAGCTAAACACTCAAAATATTCAGGAATTCTCAGAATGTAAAGCACTTCTTTTGTTTTTATTGTGCATAAAAGAAAGAAGGTGATTTTTTTTTAGTTTTGGCTTCTGCCCCCCTCTCTAAGCTACTGACTGAGCCCTGAGAGAGGCAAGCCGCTGTGGAGTGGAGATAAGGCTACACCTGCCAGCCAAGCTCATCACTGTTTGCGATTTTGAGTGTGTGTTTGTCTAAGCCTCTTTCCGTGTGTGTCTGTGTATGTTCCAGTCCCAGGGTTGAAAAGATAAGTGGCTCTAAGGAACCCGAGTGTAAAATCTCAGCTACACCGAACCCCAACAGAGATGAAGTGAGACAGCACAAAATGAAAAATACATATTCCTTTCAGAGTGGATTAAACTATAAAAAGATAGACAGAAAGGTCATTTCCTCCTCAAAAGCAGCCAAAATACCTTCCAGCTCCCAGACATGTAGCCACATCACTGAAGAGTGAAGCCACAGCAGAGACCTGTGGATATGTTCTCACAGTTATCTTATATTTACAACTAATTAGTGGTTTAATTAAAATATACAATAATGCTCAAAAGTCTATGATCAAAAGAAATCTTCTCTTGACTACACTGTAATAATCTGCTCTAAAAATAGTATAGTATATAAATGATGAATTAAGCACTTGTTAATACCTGATTCATGCTTAACAATGTAACATTAATATAAAGTGCAATCAGAAGGCTTCTAACGTATTTGACTTTTTAAAATTAATTTGAAGAAAAGTGGTTGAATATTTTGGTTTCCACTGACTTTTTTTTTTTATAACATTTTGTTCTCAAGCAATTACACAATGTAACTGTATAATTTGTAAACATTGTAGTCATGACAACCTTTCTTAAAAACTACAAACCCTTTGATTTCTGTTTACACGGTGACTGATGTGTTTTAACTTCATGTTTTATATCGCATAAAAACCATGTGTATAAGACAAACTACTGATAGTCTCATGATTGAGATAAGGACAATTATGAGACAGTTTTGTATCAAAGAATGGTTACAGGCTACTAATGTCTTAGTATTTCCAAATCTATAAAAAAAAAACACATCCGTGTATATGTGATCTGTGATAATGAAAATATCACATTTTATGAGAAATGGTGGCAATAATATGATATAATCTAAAAATCCTGCTGTAGAAAATTATGAGAAACTCCTCTGTGATTGAGAAGAAGCATCACAAGACAAAAAGTCTGTCATGATGACAAACAAAGACTGCATTATGACATGACTCTTATATAAACGACAGGCAGGAAAGCTGCACATGTGGAGATCGGGGGGTTTTCTTGTGTGTTTGTGATCATGTAAAGTTTCATTCCTAATCTTAATAATCAGTGACACAGGCAGGTTACCACATGTTACTGTTGTTTCCCACTTTTTAAAGATCATTCACCTTTAAATGACCTTTTTTTCACTCTGTTTTTAACATTTGTAAAACACAGTTCTCCCTCTACAAAGAGACTACACATCCAACACATAATCATATGTCTGTAACCTGCTGTTTACACAGGACCTGAATTCATAAATAGTCCGATAAAGTTTGTCTCTTTTTTCACCAGAGGATGAGTGATCACGCACACACACACACATCCACAGTCAAACAGAAACACACTTTGTACTTACATTTTGTTGACTGAAACTCTTTGTTGTCTGTGCAGCGCTCCATTTCTCTCTCTTTCTCGCTTACTCAGAAAATGACAGGAAGTGTAAAAGGAAGGGAAGTTGCTTCTCGCTTTGTGTACGTGTTTTGAAATGTTGCGGCCAGCCTCTTCTTAAATTACGAACTCTATCGTGAGAACATCAAAAAGTCCAGCGACGGCTTCTCTGATGGGCAGCGGCACGAGTGTGAATGGATGTGTTTGCTGAAAACTCGAGAGGGAAGAAGACACCACGAGCCACGAGTCATGCCTGTGCCAGTGTGAACAAGTACCTGTGCCTGAGCGCGTGTGTGTGTGTGTGTTTGTGTGCGTGATCTTATGGTACAACCATGGCAAGAGCAGCACTTACTAAACTTCTTCTCCTCGTGATTCTTGCCTTCATCATCTGCCTCCCGGAATTTTTCACATTTTACCAAGGTTGGTCACACAAACAGCTTCAGATCCACATTAGTTCATTCTGTGTGTGTGTATTGTGTAAATGTTAGAATGTTATCCACCTTTTGTTCAAACTTTGCATCAAAGTAAAGCTTTAGACAACGTTCGCTTGATTTGCTTCCTCTTTACACACATTGTCTGTGGAAAGACCTGTCTGTGTCGGTCTAAGATTATAAATCAGACCCAAATATAGCTCCATACAACTCTGACTGACAGCCCTTTTGAAAAGGTTTCCGTATTGTGTTGCCTTGAAAACACGTTTCTTTATGAGAGCATCTCGGTTTACCCTTGTGCTCCTGCCGTCTTTGCCTTCAGTGGTTTTTCTTTTTTGTCTCTCCATCTGTGTCTTTCCTCATCTGTCTCTTTCTGTCAGATACAAACTGGAGGCAACAGCTTCCATTTCGAGATCTTGCTATGATTTATAGCTTGACAGCTCGTTCTTTGCTGCTTTTCCTCTTTATGCCTGCTTCTGCTGAGAAATCAGTCTGAATTTTGCCATGTTCATTCTCTTTATCCTTGCAGTAACAAAAGTGAACTTCTTCTGCCTTCCCTACCGACCCTGCGAACAAGGAAATCGGGTGAAAGAGGGAGAAAATGGAAAGGCTGGAAATGATGACGCTAAGAGAGGCCATATGTGTGACCCATCTCAGACTCCAGATCAGGAAAAATGGGAGCAAGCGTGCATACGAGAAGATCAAAGCAATACAACAGATTCGGCTTCAGACGTCAGGCGAGGCAGAGATGATCCAAAAGCGAGGTGGTTCATGTGTGAGACAGACATGGAAATGGCAGAAGTACACAGAAATATCTCAACTTCAGGTATTCACATCTAGAGACTCAACAACATCTGCTTTCTGTTTAGAAAAGCTTGCTACTGCCTGAAGTCCACACCGCTGAGTGCATCTGACCCGTACTGTCTAGTGTGTTTGGCTAGTGTGATTATTGAGTGCCACGTCTGGGTGCGGTTAAGTAAACTGTGCCCTGGTCTGCTTGAAAAGGTGGTCCAGGGCATGCTTCAGTTAGACTCTTAGCGTACTCTGTGTACGCTCTTAAGACTTCCAAGGTGAATCATAATGACTCTAGGATCCATCACATTTGAAAAGTTTAAGCTAATTAACAACTAATTAATTGTTTATTAAAAGTGACTTTTTATGGTTACCGTCACAGTGAGGACTCTATGCAGTCCTGTGAAAAAGTAAGTAGATCCCATGATTCAGTAGTTTAGCAACAATAACTTGAAGCAGTTGTTTTCTGTATGACTTCATCAATCGCTCACACTGGACACACTTTAAAATGCCATTTAAGTTCATTGAGGCTTACGAGCATTAATTTATGCACATTTCTCTAAAGGTCTTGCCACAAGATTTCAGTCATGTTCAGGTTTGGACTTTGATTGCAACAGCTTAACCCTTTTGTTTTGCAGCCATTCTGTGGTAGTGTGCAGTCTGAACCAAGCTTTAGCCGTTAGGCAGATGGCCTCACATTTCACTCTAGAATACTTTGGTGTACAGAGGAGTTCAGTGTTGACTTACTGAGTGCAAGATGTGTCGGCCCTGTGGCTGCAAAAGAAGCCCAAGTCATCACCCCTCCACCACTGTGCTTCATAGATGTTATGAGGTGATATGCTGATATGCATTATGGCCTAACATCACATTGGTCTCGTCTGTCACTGTTCCTGAAGTCATGATCAGATGCATTTTTGCAAACTAAAGCCAAGCTGCATGTTTCTTAAAGAGAAGAGGGTTTGTCCTGGGACTCTCCCAAAAAAGCCATATTTGTTCAGTCTATTTCTCAGTGCATTTAACATGCTAACTGAAGCTTGTCAAATCTGAAATATACCTCTGGTCTGGTCTGGTGTATATTTTTGTATTTGCTCCTACCTGTTAGTTGTGAGATTCGCACCTTTAGCAATATTTGGGTGAGAGGTTGTACTGTTTTTTCAGCTAGTGTTTAGTAGCTTAGTAGTGGAAAGGTGCATCCCAGGTCTTAAAACTGCAATTCCTTGAACAGCCACTTGAGGGTGGATTTACAAGCAAGTCAGCTGCTACAATTTCCCATGTAAAATAAACTTTTTTATAGCCTTGTACAGGAAAAGGCTTTTAGTCTCTAAAACTTCATGAAAACTGTACAGAGGACAGCTGTCACGAAGTTTGCCATAATTCATCTTGTGTTTCTGTTGTTCAGCAGACCATCAGAGGTGCAACGCTTCCAGAGAGAACTGATCGCCTTCCACTAATTAAAGAATCTAATTAAGCTTTAAAATATGAGCATATTAACGTGAGCGTCACTGTGAGCATGTTCACAGGCTGGTGTTACTTAACTCTGAGCACAACTGTGCACGATTAACGCCTCAAAAAGCTGCTTACGCTGCCTTCTCCAGCAGACAATATAAGCCTTTTACGCTCCAATCAATACATTCATGCTATTTATTCACCCACAGCTTACGAGTCACATCTGGAGGTGTCAGCCGAGCTTCATCTGCCCAACGCAGAGACCCTGAATCTCACCTTGTACGGCCGCAGCAATCACAGTTCCTTACACCTCTACCCACCTGAGGAGGAGGAGGAGGAGGAAAATAAGGGTGGTGATGAAGGACAGAGGAAGGCATTCTACTGCTGTCTCCCTTTCCTGCCCAACTCTGAATCGCCCAATCAAAGCCGCTGTCTCCTTTGGTTCGCCAATCAAACGGTTTGGAATTCAACAGCAAAGGAAAAGCTGCCATGGAAACGGACACAGAAAGGTTGGTGTCAGGCGGATGGAGCTGGGCTTCTTTGATCCCCACGCAGCAAGTGTGGCTTCTCTGTAAGATGGAAAGGAGAGGAAAGAGGAGACAATAGGAGACAAGGAAATTGGCCACTCAGTTTTCATTTCATTCCAAGCTGCCCACTCTCTCAGTCCACAATGGAGTCATTCTTTTTAATAGAAGAAATTTCCTTCAGTTCTTCTCCTGACTTTTTGTTTCTCCCTCTTCCTCTGTACTACATGATCAGTCATACTTTCCAAAACTACAGTACATCTTAATTTACTGTATCTCTAAGCCTGTATTGATTTCTTTCTTTCTGCTCTGCTCTCCAAAAGTCCCTCATGCTTAAGACATTGATTAAGTAATATTTTCCAAAGTGCATAATGAAAGCTGGATATCCATTTCCTTCCAATTTTTCTGCAGCACCTCCACCAGACCTTTCCATTTATGCTTTTCCCTTTCTTTGTTCTTGTTTGTTCATTTCCTCTTATTATTTATATTGCCTCTTCTATGTCTTTTATCTCTTTACAGTCCTCCTTCCTTGCCGGTCTCTTGCCTTCTTATCCTTCCTTCTTTTCTTCCTTCATCCACTCTACAGTTTCATGTATTTTATTTTCACATGGCATGAATTTTAGTGCTGGAATGACTGGGATGGATTTTTTTTTCTTTAGGTAAAGAGGTCAGTAATGAAAATAATACATAATTGTTTCAGACTCTGCTTTGTCCAAAATGTTCCTCTGTTTTCCAGATGAGTGGCAGTGTGCGCTCAAAGTGGTCTGGCTGGCTCTGCTGTGTTTGGTGTTGCTGAGCATAGTAACGAGTGTGATCGGACAAATCTACAAGAAAAGGCGTTTGTGCAGTAAGAGACAAAAAACAATCAAACAAAAGAAATCACTCGTTTTATGATGCCACAACTGAAGAAACAAACAAAGTCAAAATTTGAGTTACTATTTTAAATTTCTAATTAAAAATGAAAAACTTTGAGTTTGTATTAGTGAGTTGAAAGTTTGGACTTATGAATATAAAAAAGGCTTGGCTTTGTTTTTCAGTGGTGGAAACAGGCATCCTAAGACATGTTTTTTTCCTCTGCCAGGGAAGCCGAAGGTGCACCCTGATGGCTTCAACTTAATTACTCAGCAATTAAATGGTAAGCCAGCAAAATGTGTATTCTGAAGTTACTGTACACTAGATACGTTTGTACTTCACTGGATTTCAATATTGTGAGTGCTTAAAAATATCCAACTTTAAACAAGTTCACCTTTTGCTGAAGGGCAAGACTGAGCGTGCAAACTGAGGTGCACATAAGAAAAAAACAACAACCATTTACACACAAAGATAAAAAGCAAACTCTAATTATAACACAAGAAAAATGTTTAAATGTAGCATGTTCAGCAGCAGTGGTCTGTCCAAAGGTGACTGACAATGTGCAAGGCAAAAGTGCAAAAAGTCATGTTTAGCGCCGTGACGTGAGACTTCCTGCTTCTATGGTGAAAGACAAGCTTTTTCTCCTGGCCGCATATTGCTATCAGAGCCACTGCTTTAGACTAGTTTCAACCACAGTGCAGAGAACTTAAAAAACAATTATTATTATGAGAAATTCTGAAGTGATTGGTTTTGTCATATTGTACAAAACAAAGGTGAAACCAATGAGGGACAAGATCAGAATCAAACTGAAGCAAGACTCATGAAAAACTGACTTCCACACCCAAAAAGGAAATGACAAAGAAATGAGTGTCTAACACTGAGGCATGAACACTAAGAGGAGGCAGACTCAAGGGAACACAGGAAGCCTCAAATTACAACCCCCACTAGGATTTTCTCAGTGCACATGTACCAATACACAGCCCTCTGTGACATTTCAACCAGCCCTCAAGGACAGAATACACTACCATACAGTTCATTCACCCACAATATATAACTTAACATCAAATATAGAGGCAGAACCAAACCAAGGGAGCATAATCTATTCATCAAACTCAACAGTCACCTCAAGGCACTTTATATTGTGATAATACAGAGAAAATCCCAACAATCAGACTTCCCCCTATGAGCAAGCGCTTGGTGACAATGGGAAGGAAAAACTACCTTTTAACAGGAAGAAGCTTCTAGCAGTCCAAGTATCAGGGAGGGACAGTCGTCTTCGACAGTCAGTGAGGGGTGAGGACAGGAAGCCGCTCCGGAAGAGAGACAGAGATTATTAATAACTAATGATTAAATGGTGTATCAACATAAGACTCAGCCATTCAATGTTAACAAATACATCTGGTGTCAAGAAATGCCACCTCTCACTGTAATGGTTAAAAAAAATGATAAGCCATGGCTTACTATCAACCAAAAACCAGTGTGTTAGATCTCTGAACAAACACACTAAATGTGTATTTAATCTATGTTTTCATTTATATGCTGGCTCTGTACATGGTCACTTTTAGAAATCCTGGTCTGTGAATAGTCTGTATTGTCTCTGAAGTATAATATATTAATAATATACTAAGTAAACTAAAATGTATTCCAGAAGATGAGAGTTACAACATGTTTATGCTACTCTTTTATGTAGACGGTGCCAAAGAAACAGAAGTCAGCCCTCCTGAAGGTAAACTGCTCAATAAAAACGCATTTACATCTGCGTCAACAGGTTTGGAGATTCTAACAAACTCTTTTTGGTCCAGCAGGGACAAACCTCCACTTATACGGGTTTCATACCTGGTCAGGTCAGTCCTTTTAATCAGTCAACATCATTTAATGGATCTGTTGTTTCACTGCTTTCACCACGTTAATCTTTTTCTTTTTTTTTACCAAAATGGATAGGGCTCTCACCAATTAAAGAAGTTGACAGTCAAAGTAGGTACACACACACACATGCACCTTTTAGAAAAATGAGTCAGATCACAAACACACGTTCTGATTGTCCTCACGTATACTTTTCAGATGACATATCAATGTTGATGGATGGAAATGCTGACCACTGCTATACTGGTAAAGTCTTTACTGGAACAATTGTACAGGTTCAAAGAGAAAGCTGTTGGTGGTTATGACCACCAACAGCTGGTTGATGACTTTCAGATACTCTTGCACGCATTCAAGACTTAACTTGGCGCCTCTTCATGCAACCAAAGTTTGATTAATTATATGCGGTTTAGTTTTTAGATGCTATGGATCGGCCTTTAGTCCTGTCCTTACCAGCGTATTGCTGGATACGTTATTTGAAACTGCTGCACGGTTGGGAACCACATCGCCCTTCATTTTCATACGTGTGTGGTAATCTGCGAATGGTGCTACGAGAGCTCAAAAACTCCAAAGTGTAGCTTTAAATATGATGGACTTAATGCATAAATACAAAAAGTATACCAATGTGTAGCTAATTATCATTGAATTGTTTGCTGTATTAGGCTGTTCTCTTTACGTAAAACGTAAACATAAGGTCAGAGGTTAAATGTGATGTGATATTTGGATGTAAATTATAATGTGATATTTAGAATACACATACACCAGTATCATTTCCTAAATGTTGCCAATACAAACAAAGGCAGTCGTAAAGTTAAAAGACATTTTATGATGTTTGACCTTATAAAATACACACAACACTTATAAGAATCATAGTTTCTAAGTTATAAGGCTTTTTGGTAATTTTGGACCTATACATCATTATTTTGACATTGAGGATTGTGGTTGATGTGAGCCAAATTTTGAATGGATTGTTAACACGACTCCATTCTAAATAAAAAACGTAAAGTTTTATCGGAATTCATTCAAAACTTTTTGAGTTATGGTGTTTACAGACAGAACGGCATGCACACTTCCAAAAACGTAATCTTCCAGGCGGAGTTAATCGTCAAAAAATTCATCTCAGTAGACAATTACTGCAGAGTATCAACACATCAGAACCCTTTTAAAATGTCATCTAACAGTGCGCTCGGTGCCTTTTTTCTGTTGTCTTTAGGTTTTCTGCATCATCGCAGCCATCCCTCCGTCAGCTCCATCAAAGATGAGCCTGCTCGATGACAGGCGAGCAGCCGGAGGAAGCTGGAGGAAAACAGCCGCCTCATTTACCAGCATTACTAATGGTGAAAATAAAGATATCTGAACCACCTACATGTGCTTGTGAACTTATTTTCAGCATGTCATCTCGGAAGCTTTGTCTATGTTAGCACTTTATTAGAGGACAGTCTCTACACATTATTAAACTATCAAAAGATAAATAAATGGATTGGCCCTCGAACATTTTTCACCCTGAAAGAACTAAATTGTTTTGTATTCTGAGTCAGATGCATGGCTGATAAACAGCCTTACCCCGTCTGGTTATAGCTGAAAGGAGCCAAAACATTTTGACAGCACTGACTAATATCTTGTTTGCTTAATAGCTTTCCTTGCCAGCATCCATGTATCTCTAAAACTGAAGAAGAAGCAGAGGGAGAGAAATATTTATCCTTCAGAGATCGAGGTAACTGTGGGCTAAGCGCTATAAAGTAATTCATCTCAAATTCTGTAGAGACGGCGGTTCAGAAGGAGGAGAAAAATGTAGAGCATAGTTGAGATACAACACATCTGACACATCTCTGCGGTGATGTGTGAGATGAAACCGACATGGTATACATTTCTGAATGTTGGAACGCACGATCGAAGGCTTTGTTCTGGAGTAAAAACATGTAACCTATGTGTGCATGTAAGGCTGTCTTTGGGGTGTTTAAAGTGGAATCACACAAAGTGTACAGCAGGTCGAACGCGAGTAACCACCTGGTTTTATTTCACCATAAAAACATTAAAGGAGCCAAGCTCGCTCTGCCAGGAAGTAACTAACTCCAGATAGCAGCACCTGCAAGGCTCATGTCTTACTGTGAATTTGCTCTTTTTGCAGTCAGTCGTACTCAACCATCTGGAAAACATCTGTATTTGCAGCACATTTTCAGAATTATTAAACCCAATCGCTACTCTTTTACTTTTATGGCGTAAGAGGGAGACATGAAAAATATTTTAACTTATGGGTCATTCCACCTCATATCGCTCATCACATTTTTAGATCATTGTCTGCTCAACCACCTGTGTATTGCTTGAAAATCTAATGGTTTAAACTTGGATGACTATAATCTAGCTGTGAAGTTTCAGCCTCGTGTATCAAATACTTTTTTGGACATGTTTTGTTTTTCTTTTCTGAGGCAATGTTTCAACATGAATATCTCAAAAATGTCCAAGATAAAAGCCTAAAACTTTCTCTGATCTTTCTTTCTCCGTAAGATAGAATTAGGGTCTGTAATTTGGAAACAATGCTTAAAAATGTCTGGGTGGATTGAGCAAACACAACAAGTTGCACACTAGAGACGTCAGCTCATAATTTAATATGAAAGAACAAATTTCAGGAGCTTCCAGATGTAAGTCTTATTATAACGGAGAAAGTTATCTTGTAAAGTATATGCATATTTGTTATTTTCAAGACCCACTGGATGAGTCTAATAATGATGTTTAATTTTGAAATATACAAAAATGCAACAAATACTGATTTTTTCTTGTACATACAAATAAATATTGCACAATGTTGTATCTTTAAATTTGAATGCAGACTGGAGCTGGTCGAGCAGATGGCCCACAATAATTTGAGATAAATTGACCCTTATACCAACAGTTTTGCAGAATGAGGCAGTTTTAATGCATATTTATAACCAAAGAATCAGAAGTTACACTCAGTTTCAGCAAAGATTGCTGTGTGCGAGTTATACAATCCACATCTACCTATCGTGTTTCAATAACCTTTAAAGTGAGTGAACAATGAGTTAGCTCATTGTTTAGCAACAAACAGACGCACATGATGGAGTAATTCCGGCTAAAGAGCTCAATGTCCCCTTTAGGATTTAGCAAAAGCCAAAATCAGAGTTTAAAGAGAGTCAAAATTCACTAAATGAATGATAGTGTTTAAAAGGTGATACATAACACAAGTGTTCACTATTTGCTTCCACAAAAAATGTCTCTAAAATCAGTTATTGCAGGTTTGAATTAATAACCCCCCCCAAAACAGACAGTTTTTGTTTTACTGGGGTAATTAAATGTTTTATTGTTATTTTGTTGCTGTATTTCACACTGTTTGGTTTTGGTGCAGCCAAACTAGCCGATTCCCTTCAAAAGGCTGTGGTTTCACTTTTAGTGTAGAGAGTGGTATCGCTCATCTAATTCAGTCCAACAACAAGACGCAAACAGAAATGAATTAACCGACATCACATTAGTAATGTTCACAACAAAAGATGGAAATAAAATATAAGGTAGTGTTGTTTCATATAATTTAACACAGAAAACAAAATAAGTATGATATTACTATATATAATCACTGACGCTGGTATTTTATCTTAACCTGCAATTAAACAGTCAACACAACAGACACTCTACTAGTGTTAGTCTATGTTTTTTCCTGTTGTGCAAAGAAAGCTCAATGTACAATAATGTAGAGTTTGATCAGTACAATCAGTAATATTCTGTTTTTTGGTTTTGAGGCGTGGACGTCATTTTGGTTTCTTAAAGCAAAACATCAACGGCAAAACAGGCAAAGTAACATTCAGAGACACAACGTGGCACAAACACACAAACAAAGCGTATGCGAGCTACCACTACGTGTGTCAGTTAAGCTGGTATCTTCCTGATGATATTCTCTGTGTTCTGTTACTATTTGGCACTTAGTGTAGATTAAAGCACTTGTTCTGGTGACTCTATTCTCTATACTTTACTGTACAACAATAGACACACTGGCAGGCAGTTGCACAGGCAGTGTTAAAGCTGAATCTGTGCTGCGGCCTCTGTGGCGGGTCGGCAGTGTTGGCTCTGGATGTGGGAGATCTGCAGGATGGGCAGCAGCAGCTGAAATGCATTCTGGATGTAGTTGGTGCTGTTGGAGCCCTGCGGATAGGAAATCATAAGTAGATGTAGCATAGTGCTGAACAATATATATGCATATATACATATATGTATATAATTGAGAGTTTCAAAGACTGATGGCTTGGGGACAGAAACTGTTCTCTTGCTATTCTGCTCCAACAGCTGTAAATCCTCTAGCTAGACACCTGTAGTGAGAATAATCCATGATGGGGATGGATGGAATATAACAATGCTACATGTGCACAGTTTGTGTGCACAGCTCTGGATGTTTCTGGTCATCCAGAAATTCCTCGAGGCATTAAACAGGTGCTTTGCTTACAAGAAAACAATGCCTCCTGGCATCGCTGTCACAGAGATATAACAATAAAAATGAGGAAAGATTTGTTTCTAGAGATGCAATTTGTAAAAAAAAAATGCATTCTGAAAAATGTTGAACAAGTCTTTAAACGCTGTGTGGATCTCGTCTGAGTGCCTCTTAAAACTCAGTTCCCATTGCATTAGTGATGATGATCCTGATCATTTATCTGTCACTCATCATGAGACTGCTACATCATTAATTTTATCCATTTTTATTTTTATTCACGATGTTCAAAGTAAAAAAATCTCACCTCTAGCAGCACACTCTCTACCAGTGGGTTCAGCTCTTCTGCTTTCCTCTGGCCCTAAAAAAGAGAGGCAGTGACACTCGTGAGATCAATAAAAGATGATGGAGTAGCAGAAAAACACAAGTACAAAGACAAAGATCAAAAATTATTTTACTACTGTCAGCAGAGCCTATGAAAAAACCCCCAAACAAACAAAAGAAACAGTGACTTGATCCAACAAACAAATACTCACACATCAGCTGTCTGATATATCTCCTGCTACATCTAAAAAGCTCTGCTGTCACTGAGTCACGTTGTTGTAGTGGGTGAAATGTTTTATTACAATGAATACGACCACTGTATTTATTATGAGTCAGCTCTACAGAGACTGCTCTGTTGGCATAAATACTCATTAGAGCACCCCGTGTGTATTCATACAACTTAAAATAGGCCCCAACTGAACTAAAGTTAAACCCCAATGGATACTTTTTGACAATAACAAACATTATTAGAATAGTCACAATCATCCCTAATGTTCACACACCCACATGCACACACACTCTCACCTACCCCAACATCGAGCAGCGTATCAGAGAACTTCTTGGCCAAACACTCCACCTCCTTACACATGGCACATGTCAACCTGCAATAAGAAGAGTGGATTTGAGCATGCATCACTCCTTGGAGTAGTGATACTATCTCTTCCTTGACCTCTCTCTACCTCACAGATACACACACACAGACATGCAGACACACATTATGTGCAAATGGATTATTTCTTCACATTTAGTTTTTGCTAGCTCTTTAATTGTAGACCTAATGCCATACACACCTAACTGTTCTTATTTTAGTGCCCCTCAATCCCCTTTTCTCTCTGTCCTCCTCTCTCCTTGGTACCAGGGGGATTCACCCAAATGATCCTGGTAAAACAGATCCTTATCAAAGCCTTCCCCAAGCTGCAGTATCTGCCCTAGCACAGGGCCGAAAAAAAGGAAAATCAGACCCTCTAACTGGACCGACTTTAGCTTTGATAACAGCACGTTTTTCATAAGCTTATGCACACGTGAACTGTGCAACGTTTATTTTCATCATTTTTGACCAACATCTTGTGTTTATGATGAGCGTGTTGGATTGTTACGGCAAGTTATCTCCAGCACATCCCAGTGGGGTTAATGTCTGGAGTCTGTTGCGTCTAATCCACGTGAAAATGACGTCTCCTATTCCCTGAACTCCCTGAACCACTCTTTTACAATTTGAGCCTGATGAATCCGACCCAAGCACATTGGAAGAAAACATTTACTAAAGGAAAAACCTGGTCATTCAGTATTTTCAGGTAGTAAGCTGACCTCAATTTCTGAACCAATCCCAGATCGTAACACTGCCCCCACAGGCTTGTACAGCAGAAACCAACACGATGAATGCATCACTTCACCCGCCTCTCTTCTTGCCCTGATGCACCCATCACTCTGGAACAGAGTAAATCTGAACTCATTAGACCACATGACCCTTTTTTCATTTACTCCGATCTTTATGCTCCCGAATATACTGAAGCCCTTTTCCTGATTAGCCTCACTGATAAGTGGCTTTCTTAAGGCTACACAGCTGTTTAGTCCCAATCACTTGAGCTGTTCTCGCACTGTGTGTGTGGAAAGGCTCTTACATGTTGATTTTTTATCATTTCATTCCAATTTTAGCAGTTCCAACAATCTCCTTAGTTGTTTTCTTCGCTTGACACAGTCCAATAATTTCAGTGAAACGCAGTAACAGCTGACACGGTTGTCTAAGAAATGATAAGCTCTTATGTATTTGCCTAGTTAAATCCAGGTGGTGACTTGTCTTTTGGCCAGGCAGTGTATGCGACTGTTTCAGTCTTCTTTGCTTGTGAACCTAACCTCAACAATCACAAATGCCAAATCCCAAACATTTCCATTATTTCCCTTAGCAAAGACATAACAACAGCTTATATTGATCTCCTGGAGGCTTACCCTAACCCGTACCATAACCTTGAACCTGTCAAGGGGATACCCACAGAAGGAAGTTCCCACAATGTAAGTGTGCAATACAAGTACACATTCACACACATACCTGGTGAGGACGTGTGCCTGGTCTCTGGCTGGTTTCTCTTGCTCCTGGCCGTGGAGGATGAGCTCCGCCACCTTGTGGAGCTGCTCGATGCTGCGAGCCGTCACTTCTGCCAGACTGCTGACCGATGACAGGTAGATGGCCTGATGAGAGGAAGGTGAGGGTATACACACACACACACAGAATAAGTGATTCAAATCAAATAAGGCAGTGACAGCAGGAAGAAAAGGTGACGGAATTTAAACTTGAAAGCAGAAGTCATAACAGTGCAGATGAGACGTCACCTCTACAGATATGGGGTCGCTCTCCTTTGCCTCTTCTCCTCCCTTCATCTCCTCCTCCTCGCCCTTCTTCTCCCCCAGCTCTTCTCCGTCTTTCTTCTTCTCTTCCTTTTTGTTCTCCTCTCCTCCTGGCTGGTCCTGCGTTTCCCTGCCAACTGTCTCTGTAGTGACAGGTTGTTCCACCTTGCTCACCCAATCATGGGCCCTCATTCGAGCCTGGAGATGCATAATTACCACTCATCAGGTCTGCATGAAGACACATTCCCACCCTGATCCTGATGTATGCTAATTAGATGCATATACATGGATATATGCTAATATTGGTTTTTATATATGTGAATGTGATTATGCAGGATGGCTTTAGGGGCTGATAACTTTTAAATTAGCTTTGCAGCAGGATGCAGAGTTACTATGTTGAGTGTAGATGCAAAGATGTGTATTTTTGTAGCTTTGTGGACCGTTTTCTCAGAGCAAATAGGAAGAATGATTGGTGGTTGTTAGAATATTCCTGGTACTAAACTACACTATGGAATTTGAAATGCATGATTTCAACACAATTTCATAATAAAACGAGGTATAAACTAATA